GAACCCGCAGGGAGGCTCTCCGCGTCCGTTCTGGGGAACCCACTGTCACTCTGCTGGCTGACGCTCCAGCCCCTCCCAGAAGGGTTGCTGTCTAACCAGAAGAGCCCTGTGCAAATGCACGCATGCCGAGAAGCCTTCTGAAAGATGATCAATACTAACTAGCCAACACCTAAGTTAAACAGGAATCAGACTAACAAACCAGGTACCAGGCCCCTCCTATGGGGCTAGCTTGGCTGCTCCTGAACTGCACGTCCACACAGTGACCGTCTGGGGCCCGCAGCTGCTCCAGGGTCCTGCAGCGGGGCTGCTGAGCCAGGCCTGCCTGGTGACGGTCCCCCGGGGGTGTATGGGCTCTACCTGCCGCTGGCCTTTTCTGTTCTATTGCAAAGTATACATCCCTCGATTTCTGCAGTATTTATCGTATTCTCAGTCTACTGTGTTTTACAGCTGTGTTCACTCATTAGTCACCAGGAAAGCCAGATGTGAAATTCCCTTTTGGGCTAGCTGAGTCACATGTGAGGAAGAGTCTTGGGAACTCCACTAATCACATTCTCACAAAGCTATTTTTCTGGTTCTTTCGTATATTCCCTACATGTCATGTCTGGAAGCTATGCTAATGGCGAATTAACATCTATATATAGTACTGATGTCCGTTTTTGTTTAGTTCAAACCAGAGCCATTAACCTCAGGACTTCTGTTTAAGTTCCTGACCAAAAATGCCATATTCCTTTCATACAATCCTGTAACTGTTGACTTTTCCTACTCCAGATCTTAACATGGGCTTGGGTGACTGGAAATAATCATTACACAGAATCTGTTGCTGCCCAGGTTATCTCGTTCAATCTTAACCTACCTGTCAGGTAACAGGTATGATTTTGCAAGTGGAGAAGCTGAGACTTGAGGGTTAAATAATTTGTTTGATTAGGCAGAGACAAAGCAGAGACTATTAAGCTAGGTCTCTTTAGGTGAACACCATGTCACTGAACAAATCCACATGAATCCACGCCACACTTTCACCGCGAGATCTCAAGGGCACGGCGCTTGCTCTGCATAACTGGCTCCAGTAGCACCGGTTAGCATTTCTGTACGGCACAGGTTAAAACAGTATCTAAGGGTAGAACTCACAGCAAGTTTCCATAAATACTTCCTTTACAGAACTTTTGTTTCCTAAAATAGAAAATAAAGTTTCTTTTTGACTATGAAGTTTGCCCTTTTACTCAAAATTTCAAGGAAAAGGCCAGATCACCATCCCTTAAAGAGACTGGGCAGGCATTTATGTGTCAATTCAAAGGTTCTTAATCCTTTTTTCATAAAAGCCCCTTCCTACCCTGGAAACTTCTACACCCCTAATCCTCCCCTGCTCAGCTGCTTTTAGAGAAGAACTCCCACCTCTCCTAGATACCTCTGTGTCATCAATCTGAGAAGCAGCAGAGGGGCCAATTCAGTTGGGAAGGTGCCCAAGGAGGGCAAAGGGCAGGCCAGACGGACAAGCTCAGTGGTGGCTCCGGGGCAGTGAACTGTAAGTACCACGTCCGCCTTCTGGACCCCCCCCTGCAACGTTTTCCACTGTGGCAAAGATGCGCCATCTTGAGAAATCGAGCCTCTAAGCATTGTTTGACTGTTAAAAAGCAAAGGAACTTTTCTCCTATTCATAATTCTGGATTAAACTAAACCTTAATTCATAAAAAAAAATTTTTTTTAGAAGTCAGCACCAGGTGTCATACTCAAATCTAGCAGAAGAAAGAAGCCCTCATGAGGCTTTGGATCTGCTTTCTGCCAGGCTTCAGAATGACCACGACTTGTAAATTAAGATATACACATGCAGTGGGATACGTTGTGATCAGAAAGAAATTAAAATGTAGTAACGACTCATCCAGTAGTCAAGCAGGAAACTGCCTTAAAAATGACCTTCTGCTTTTCTGACGTGGGGTCTCCCGAAGGACATGGTGGCTAAAGATCTACAAAAATGCAGGGCCAGTCTTCAGGCCCCAAAGTTCTAAACACTGCAACTCAACCAAGTCACCACAACAAGGGGATGTGGCCAGGAAAGGCCACACCTTTCCAAGTTATGAAAACTGATCTATTTCAGGGGAAAACTGAAACTGATGGCCAGAGCTGAAAAGCCAGGGACACCTGTGTGTTCCATTTTTAGGCTCATGACCATCTCACAGTCACAGTTACTTCCTGCACTGACTGAAACATTAAGGGATTGGCCAGACACAATTATTAATGGAGAAAAGTAGGCATCTAACCCTTTTGCAGAACTATCAGTGAGTAATTTCCAAGTGAACTCTGACAACAGTGATGTGAATGAATGGCAATGAACCTAGGAGAGAGGATGTATCAGCTCCCCACGTGCTTCACACTTCTGCCTTCTGTTCCCTGTCAGAGACCAGCAAGCAGTCAGCTATTGATTAAGGTGGCTTTTCCCACGGTCAACTCAGCACAGCATTCCCAATTGGGGCAGCAATGAAGGTGGGCACTCACTGGCCTCTCTGCTGCTGCTCTTTCATTCACGAAAGTCTTTTTCTAGAGACTGGACAGAAGGACTTGATGCCCTGTGCTCTTATTTTACTAACACCTTCAGAATTTTACACTAATTGTGTTATCGGAATGGTGACTAAGAATTGAGCAAAAGAATGAAGTGTTCTGGGAACTCTAGCCAGTACTGCTATACTATAATAAAAGTACAGGGACACCCAGACATTAGTGGTGGCATGTACGTGGATGGGGCCGCCGCACCCCAAGCCGTGTTTCTTAGACCGGGTGCCAGGGCAGACACAGTGCAGGGTGCGGCTCCTAAACACGAGCTTCTTCGAGACTGGGGAGCACCTGTTTCCCTCTCAAGCAGCGATTTGCACTTTTGTGAACCCTACTCTCCTCCTGCCTTTTAAGCTTGTTTCTACAACACTCTGGATGCCAGAGAGACCATAGGTTTAGGGGGAGGTGACTCCAGCCAAACCCCCCTCACTCTCCTGCCCCACCATACTCCACGAGGGTCCAGGCAGCAAACAGACCTGGTACCAGGAGCACCTGGCTCCAGAAACCACCAGCAGAAGGTTTCAGAGGGACAGCCAGAGCTTCGTGTGCTCACACTTCCTGCAGGATTTCTTTATTCTCTTCTTTGAAGAATACTAAGCCACAGAATATAAAAGAATTCCTGTGTTGGCAAAAGGCCTACAGCAGGTGAGAGTCAATTAACCTGCATTCTCCGGGAAGGCTCACCACAGCAGACACCAGCAGGAATTAGAAGGTAGGAGGGAATATAAAGAGGAAAGGGGAAGACAGAAGTGAGGACAAGGCTAGATGGAGGGAGAGAAAGGAGGGGAAAGGCAGGAGAAGGCCCAAAATAAACAACTTCACATTTGTGGTCACTAGGCCATCGTGGGTCCTATTGATTATAAATGGTCATCAGACATAGCTTCTCCATTTCATCTGAGGCTGCAGCATATTTCCTCCCAGCATCATGCCAGGACACTTTCAATTCAAATTCAAAGGGAAGGAGGCCAACAACTGAGTCACCAGTACCATTTCCTGCAGCACCTGGGTTTTCCTTGGAGGTTTCCCATTCGAGCACTCAACTTCTCTGACCTTACTTAACTTATGAGGCCACAGTCCAGGGCAGAGAAGCAGCAAAAAACACAGGATGGAAAAACGCACACGCACACACATGCACGCACACGCACACACATGCACACACACACACACGCACACACACACAGTGCTGTGAGAAGAAATGTGTAAGGAGAAAAGCCTCCTCTTTACTGGTAAACTATCTGGATATGAAACCTCAACCTCAAGGACCACAGCAGGTGGCTTTGCTTTCCAATCAAGCCACCTTAAAATGAAATCCACCTAATCTGTAAAATATACTGGTTAAGTCTGAGATTTCACCAATCTGTACACAGGAACTATTCACAAGGGTCCCAAGAACAACAGATCATTGTTTTTGGTAACTTGGAACTCCTGCTGTTCAGATGCAACCCAGATGGGAAAATACGCTTCTGCAAAAAGTGATGAAGGGCCCCTTAATCACATCAAAATTTCATCATAAGAGTTTCACCCATTTTCATTTTACATTTGCTTTAAAATATATTTTTCCACACTTGGTAAGTCACTTGTTGCCTGTTTGTGTTCTGAATGTTTTAATGCCCCTAAATTTAAGTCACAAAGACTAGTTAACTTACGTTGCTTCCCAAATCCCACATTTCCTATTCTTAAAATCCTTTGTCCCTTTGCTCATTCACAGAATGACAGAAACAAAGGTAAATGAATGAACAGAGATAAGATTTACAAGAACTAACAGTATGGTTGCTTTTTAGAAACAGATTTCTGCATCCAATGTTTCCTGCCTAAGATTCTGTGCAGTGTCGTCAAGGCCAGAAAAGCACTGGGTTACCAATCGGCAGACAGCGGCCTTCAGGATAGGAGGAATTCACCAAGGGTAACCACCGAACGCCTCTGGAGACAGACACAGCAAAGGGGGCACCCATTCCAGGATGGCCTGACAGGTAGGTGAGCCCTCCAGGTGCTGCTCCATCTCGCACAAACAGTACTCAGCAGTGCGACGACAGAGTTCACACGTGGCACTCAAGAAGAAGGAACCAATTAGGCTTCCCAAGCCACGGTGTGGTTTATGTTACCAAAACCATCTACACAGGCTGGCCCTGGGCAGTCCAGATAACAAAGCAGCCATTTCTTAATACTCATTAATGCCTGGCCAGATACTAGGGACTCCAAAATAGATAAGACCCTGTCACTGCTTTCAGTAGCATTTCTTGCAAGAAGCCATGTAAACATATTTTAATGCACAATTCACTAGACTACTTTAGTCCATTTCCTTTTTCCACAGTTAATAACTTTGGTTTTTAAATTTTTCTCTACTTACATTCTTTTTTCCACGTGTTTAGCACATCTTAAAAAAAGAATAAAATGGCATTTGTTCAGCAATTTCATTTTTGATAGGGGTTTTACATGGATGAATGTGAAAATGTGATTACCTCATCCCATTCTAAAAGGTAGTTGGTGATTTTTGAACCGTTGTCAATTGGTGCCTAAAAAATAAAATAAAATGAGATTAGTGGAAGTTGTTCACAGACAAAAAGTTCTGAGCCATGCACCTGGTTCACATACAATGGCCATGCTAGTCCTGTGCTCTCCCCGCAGGGGCATAACTCCTGCATTTCTTTGGCCAAACATTACCAGAAACTAATTTTAATACAACTCAACTAGTAGAGAGAGTCATACCCCACAAACAGCCAAGCCTGCCTTCCCCAGCACCTCTACCTTGAGACCCATGTGGTGCCCTACTTCCTCTGGGGATAAAACTTTTAAGAGGCATTTTAATTTCAAGAATAGAGAGAGAAAAAAGACAGCAGAGAAACAGTGTCACTGCCTGCAGTGCCTGGGGTCTGATGGAGTAAAGCTGACCCAGCTAGGTTCAGAGTCCAGAGTTTAGATTCTTTGTAACTTCTCCCCCACAGGTTTTATTTTTTTTTAAGTGCTTAACATTAGAAAGCCTTCTGTGGCATTATGATTCCCTTTTTTAAAAAATGAGGAAAAAATGGGATCTCCTAGAGAGATTACCAGGGGCAGTCAGCCCTTTGCCTGTTAGTAAAAAGAAATTTCATCATTTGTTTTCCCCTTAAAAGCATAGTGAGATCTGCTTCACTGAGAAAACAGGCTTTGGACAACGGGAAAGGGAGTAAAGAACTGGAGAAAACAGTGCTGAGGGTCAGCCCTGCCAGAAGGGGGCGCTACAGCAGGGTCCCTCTCAGCACTAACGCCACGTCTCCCAAGTACAAAGGCACCCGGGCCTGGCTCCGCCAGGAGAGAGCCAGAGCCCACAGACTGCGGTGACCTGCCGCCCGCAGAAGGCAGCCGGGTCACCAGAGCTACAAGGAGGCCCAGCTCGGCTGTTTGTCACACTTAACATCAGTGTTTAATTTCTTATTCCAAGAATGGATGGGTGTGATAAGGAAATGGGAGAATATGTATAAATCACTTCCTCAACTGCCCGGTCTCATAGGAAGCGCTCCACGAACGGTAGCTGTTGCTTCATTATTGTTAATAATAAAACATCATTGGGCCTCAGTAAACATTAATTAATAAAGCAACGCCTCTCTCTCGTCTTTCCTTCCTTCTCCTTCTTTCTTCTGAGTCATATAATCGTGGAGTCCCGACCCCTGATTTCAGGTGAGCACTCTATGTTCTACTAAACTGTAATTTTAGGCTTCTGTCGGCTCAGTCTGGGAGACAGGATAGGGATACATTTAAAGTTGTAGATAATGAACAAAAATCAAAGTTTTAGCTTGAGAATCCATTCCTAGGGTAAGAAGTACATTTATGACGCTCACAAATCTCTCAGTGACGTCCTGCCCCACCACTGAGTCCCTGATTCCTTGAGGGTGGGGACACAGACCCTGGTGTTTGCATTGCCCCGTCTCCGGCGCTGACTAACAAGGTAACGATACAGGACCCTGAGCTCCCTGTGTCTTGGTGGCTTCAATGGTAGGTGGGCAGCCAGAGCATGGCCCCCCGTCCCTGTGCTCCCAGCTGGAACACTGTCATCAGGAGATCTGTTCTAAGGACAAGGAAACTGAACTGAATCCAGAACTTTCAAGTTTGCACATAACCAAATGGAACAATACTATGTTTCCAAGCTACAATTAAATAAAGGGAGAAAGAAAATGTGAAACATTTTCCTCCTAATAAGAACACTTTTTCTTGAAGTTGCTGGTCTGCCTGAGACCTGAACTTCATCCAGGTTTTAAGCAGAGTGTGTATCAGTGATTCCCAACTTTAGGTTTATAAGATCCCAGGGTCCCTCTGATTAACTTACAGAAGATTTCTTATATTTTTCAAACAAAATGGACTTTAATTCTTTAAGATATATTTACATATGTATAGTGTAAATATAGAACATAGTTTAAAATGGATGTATATGCTCCAAAGACTTAAACAGTGATAACCAGTTGGGTGTTAAAACTCTGAAAAGGTGGGGAATCACTGACCTGGATTATCCCTGGAAGCCAGGAAGGAAAATAAAATAGTTCAGATTCTAAGCCAGTTTAAACTTTGCCTTCGTCCAAATAACACACTCATTGGCTACGAGAGGGGCCTACAGAAGCCCATGATTTGTTGCTAACCACTGTTCTCAGCTGCTTTTACCAGCCCCCAAGACAAATTGGACTCTCTGCTCTGGGAACAAAAGGATAAAAGATTTCTTCACCAATAATGGCGATCTCCCTAGCCATCATATTTCTTTTGTACATTAGTATTCTCCCCAAGTATCACACATCTTTATTACCTCTCTCTCTACAAATTTAACATTTTAAGCTACATTTAAAGTATGAATATATAGAGATAATTACTGTAGTGATTGATAATATAATTTACCATTTTCTTACAAACACACAACTATGACTGATAAGCTAATGCTACACTTTAAGGACCTCTCTTTGGGAAGAGGTATTTGTAGCCAAAAAGTTGAGTTTCATGAAAACTACTACATAATTGAGATGTTAAAATATAACTGGTAATCCTAACTGATCTAAGGCCTAATTAGTAAAAATTAATGAAGTCTTAATGTAGTTTAGAACACTAAACATTCTAGGCAGTTTTAAATATTAAACATTTCAGAGTCACCACTGAAAGAAGCCAATGGAGCCATAAAGCTACTTTAAATCTTTCTTCACAAAAACTTTTTACTCAAGTCCTCAAATGTTTGTTGAAGTGAATTAAACTATTAGAGAGTGATGAAATGTAAATATCTTAAGTACTTATATCACTTAGAAAGTACTGCTCATGATCCTAAGAGATTTAGCAAATCCCCCTGCAAAGAAAGCTAAAACTTGATTTTGCAATTTCCTCTCCCACCCCTTTGCCCAATTTTTAGAGAGATGGTCACTTTGGACATCATTACAATTTGTTTCACATAGTCACTATGTAGAAAACCAAACACTATCACCAAGTTGGAACAGTGCCAGATAAATGTTTCCAATGGCTACAGACTCAGAGTACTCCCGACACTTTGCGCTACCCACCTTCCACTGCAAGGTTAGGGAGCTTTTGCTCCTGTGTGCCAGCTTAGGTGGGAAGGGGCACTCGGGCGCGCAGCTGTGGGTGGTGAAGCTCACTGGCTCAGAGCAGGATCCCTTTACGGAATTGTACATAGCATATACCCTGAAAACAGACAGACACACACAGTCAGCGGCAGTGGCCCATCACGGAAGACCAGGGTGTTTATCTCAGCTTTGCCCCAGGGTTTTCCACAGAGGAACAGAATTTCTTACACAGTACACACCATGACCCCCCTTCCTATCTACCGGTCTTGTCCTGACCTGACTGTGGTCAGCATTTCCAGGGGAAGACCAGACTAACAGGCAATGTGCCTCTCTCCTGCTAATTCTCAGAAACACCCAGCCCCATTTAAGACAGGGAGAGACTGCTGACTGGAAAAGAATATGCTAAATAAGAAAATGTCCTGAATCCCCCAAATGGTCTCCAAATGTACTTTCTAAAAACCATGAGGCCACTCTCTGGTTGACTTTGTCTGGAAAGAGGCTCGAAGTAGTCAGAGGTTGGGTGAAAGGAGACAGGAAGCAGTGATAAGAGTCTACAAACTGGAGAGAGAGGTAGGAGTACAAACCACAGGTGAGACATCACCTCTGAACTGTTCGTAACGCTGCAGATATTTAGGTAGAAATGAGGACATTTCACACACAGAAACGTGCTATCTACTGCCAAATGCATCTCTCTAATTCAATAAAAACACTGTTCAGGTACAGTTTATCCATGTGAGCATCTAACTCTTGCACCTGGAGCCAAGATTAAAGATGTGCGTTGTGCACATTAAAATACCTGGCTCAATACTGAACATATGGGCCTGATTTCTCTAGAGAAGCTGTGAAGAAAAAGCATATAACATGCCATTAGAAAACCACATTCCTTTCAAATAGCATAAAATAGGATTATGTTGATTTTTTTTATCATCTTCCTTTCTACTTTTCCATTTTTTAAATATTGGGCATTAAAAAAATAACTTGAAAACATCCTCTTTCAAAAAAACAAAGAAACCTTTGCTGCCTAAAAAGATACAAGGATTAAGCTATTCAGAATTGGTAAATATATCAAATTCTTAATTCTTAACAACCCTTTAGGAGGTGCCATTAAAGACACAACACTCAGACTACAGAGGTAAAGTAAATTTCCCAAAGCTACACAGCTAGAAAGTTGGATCAACTGTATTCAGTCATAGAAATCTGTTATCCTGTATTCCCTCCTGTCCTTACTCATCCTGTAATTATATTTCTCTAAGTACCCACGATCCATTTCCCCTCATTCTGCCCAATGAATAAGCAGCAGCTAAAGATAACATGGAAAACCTAACTAAGGTCCTTTCTCCTCAAAGTCCATCACAAAAAATTTACAGAGATCATTCAAGTCAAAAGTTCTAACAGACATGCCTACCTTTCATTCTAAAAGGTAAAACACGTATTTACTGGCTATTTGACTTGTTTGCCTGACGGGAGGACACCATGACATTTGATCCATTTGATCCAAACAAAAGATGCTTATCGACAGGATGCTCTTCACCCAACCTGATGAAAGAAATTTTGCTTTTTGCATTCACTATAAGTAGGCACACGATCATATAAAACTGAATGGTAGATTTGGCAAGACCGTTTCCATGCATCAGGACAGGTTCACTGAGAGTAAGTTACTTAAAATGAATCATAGAACATTCCAGACATAGGCAAGGTTCCTGCCTGAACTTCAGCAGATCAGTTGAATTCTCCAACCGAAGGCTCATGGATTGCATCTGGCCCTAAATGTACATGTGTGGGGGAGGAACACATGTTTTACAATATTACAGCCACCAAAGAATTAAAGGACACAGGCAATTATTAACAAAAAAGAGACAAGCAGATATTTTGCACTCCTAATGAGAGAAAAATTGAACCTGTATCTGATTAAACGTCTTCACTGCTGTATGGGAAACACAGAGAGAACACTATTAAGCAACACTACAGGGATGCAATCAGCCTAATTCACAATGTGGAAAATTCTACAGGACAAAAAGAAAATTTATTACAACAAATAAATTGCAGGAAGAGGAAAAAAAGAAGAGAGAGAGAGAGAGAGATGGAGAGAAAACCTACAGATTAAAAGAAATTTAAGAGCTATCAGCCAAACACAATATTCCTGACCATGTCTGAATTCCAATTACAACAAACTGAAAAACAAAACCTTCATTTTTAAGACAATTGGGGAAATGGGAACAGTCTCTGGATTTTAAAGACATTAAAGAATTTATCAGTTTTATTTTGGATGGGCACAGGGTATGCGATGATGGTAATGTGGTTCACAGGTGAAATAATACCATGTCTGGACTTTGCTGCAAAATAACTGCTGGAGGAGAGAAAAGGTGAGCGCACCAAGGAAATAGAACGATGGCTGGTAGGCAGATGAGAGTTCATTAAATTACTGTCCACTTTTGATTGTAACTGAAATCTTGGGAAGTAAAAAGTTAAAAATTAAGCCAATATTGAACAAAATCCTTGAGATCTCTCATTTTAAAAAATGAACGTCTCTGTCTTCTCTTAAGAACTAGAAGTTCTAGCAACACTGAACTGCATACCTACATGACAGCAACCTGATGAAGCTGAGAGCAGCGCCCCCTTTAGCCCCCTTAGTCGGGGCTGTCCAGTGCAGGGTCCCCAGCACTCTGTGACTGTCTCCGGGCACTGGGAATGCTTTGCGGCTGCCTTTATCCAATCCTTTTTACCCACTTGTGTTCCCATAGGCATCTCATTTTGCAGTCACTAGGTATTTGCTTACAAATTCAGACTATAGTAGAACAGATAGACCAGGTCCTAAATATTCACAACAGTCAGCACCAAAAACCAATGCGGGTAACACAACAGGGGAAAGGAGGCAGGGGAAGGCCTGCAGAGTACTTGCAGACCGGACCACAGCTAGTTATCTGGGGAGTCTGGACTCAGTCAAGTTGGTTCTTTCTTTTTAATGAGATTCTTGGAGTCACAAATCCATACTTAGGCTAGAGAAACATGAGTGAAGGAGGCTCCTGATAGCCAGGTCAGCGGGAATGACAGTAGGAATAAAAGGACCTGATGGCAGAAGCAAAAATTTGAGGTAGCTGAAGATGGGACAGTTGTATGGGCCACAAGGAGTTATTTCTCCTGTGTTTACACTCAAAGAATGTTATTTTGTCTAAATTAGGAGTCGGTGCTCTGTACTGATAAAAGTCTGTTCCAAAGGCAACGAGAGCCATTTTATATGGCAATATAAATGCACTGCACGCAGTATCTAAAACATGACCATCTAAGTACCCCATGATTACATCTGTCCATTAAAACTGTTCAGTAAACAGACAGCAAGTAGTTGTAATAACAACCAGTTTCATGTTTGTCAATCTGTTTTCACCAGTAACTATTACAGAAAAGAAGTCTCTGGAAATGACCTTACACGTTCAAGAATGTTGCAATAACATTTCTCACATGATGCTGATGTGTCTTCTCTGAATACTATCATGTGACAGGAGGATCTGTGGAACAGGGGCGGTTTCCTAGGTTAAACATGTCAGCCAACAATTCAGTTCCTTTAGCACTTACCCCAGCAAAGAAGAACACATTTTTCTAAGATACAATTAATCTTGTGCTGGGTTTTCACATTTGTTTCAGTTTAAATACTGACTAAATGCTTATGAAACAGGTGCTCCAGGAATTTCAGAAATCTGCCTCCAACTTCCTCCAGCACATCTGTAACATACTAGGAGCCACAGTTTTTAGTCAATAACACCTATTTCATAACTGTGCACTGAGCTGGTCAACCTCATGTTTTTGGAAATATTTCATCACATAATTTTTCTGGGAAATGTTATTACATGATATCATCTCTGGGTGACTTCTTTGCCAGACTGTTTATGCCAATGACTGGAAAACAGCCTGAAATTTTGTCATGAAATTGTTATCCACTCTGTCACTCAAATTTCTGATTATCCTATCATTGATAAAAATATGTATTCTTGACTCCCACAGTAAAATGATACTCAATGTCAGTTTTAACTACAAAACTACCAATTAAAAGAGAAATATGCTATTCTTTGTGTATAAGTAAATGAATACATATAAATGTTTGTTAAGTTACATACTTATGCGTATTATAAAATATATTGCTATTTATTTATGTGTGTATATTATATGTATGTATTAGACCTTTCTCATTCTTCTCTCCTTTCCTCAACAAACACACAAATAATTTCTCTCTCTCTCAAGCACACCACCCCACCCCCTGCAGATTTGGCAGTGGTGGCTTTATACAACATGTAACACGATGCCTTATATGGAAGCACTGAATAAATACACTTTGACAATTAAAAATTGGTTTCTTTTAAACATTCAACTAACATTAAACCAAAAAAAGCAATTTGTATGAGAACTGACTAATACAAAAGTGATGACTTCAATAAAAATCTAACCCAACACCCAACAACTAAATTTTTCAAATCAACATAATAGAGGAATATCTTTTCCCCAATCACCAGGATTAAAAAAAAAAAAGGTTGAATAGATGTGGAGCAATGACACACAAAAATTCGTAGCAAAAGGTGAGAAAGGAAAAAAAAATCTTTTAAACCTGAAATGTCTTAGGATATAATTTCCAATGTGGAATTTGGCCTAAATGGTACGGCAAGTGCGAGACCCACAGCACCGTCTCAAGGACGTCACTGGTCTCTTCACATGGTGTTCCCAGTAACAGTGAGGAGACAGCAAGGAGAAGTCGAGAGCGATCCCTGCCTAGGAACTGATGACAAGCACCACAGTCCAACGACACAACCCCACGACTGAGACTGCTACTTCAAAAGCTGGTTTGTGTGTCTGACTGGTGAACTCAGACAGCACTCACTGACACGAGGGAGGGAGAGCAGAAAAGGAGAGGAAGCGTTCTACACAGATGCCGAGCAATCAGTGGGAAGGGGATGGGATCAGAGGAGCAAAGTCAGAATCGACGAGGAAGGAGCCCTTAGGTGAGACTTCAGGGCCTGATGTGAGAAAGAACCTTTTCACTCTGCTGCACAGTGACTGGAACAGGCCTTCCACAGGCCTTTGTCCACATGTGCACTATTATGAACGGGAAGGAGAATACAGCCTGCTTGGCGCTGCTAAAAGAAACATCTCTGTTCTCATCATTGGCTCTCCAGACTTCCAGCAGGGCGACACTTTCCGAATCGGTGATGCACAAATCAATAAAAGTGGCAACGAACATAACTGCTCATTTTGCAACTGTACAGTAATGGAATTCTTTTGTAACTTCTGTTAGGGAATCTAGTGAGGAAATATTTCCACACAGTCTTTTGAGGCCTTATAGGTGACTGTTAAAATTATGTTTGAGACTACTGTGTTGATAAAAGCTTACATTCCTGGAACTAAGACTTTGAGAATGTTAACTCAATTGCATCATAAAAAGAGATTTTGCTGCTTTTTTTCAGTGCTAATTGTGATATATGTTTATCTCAATAAAACAGTGAGTGACATGGTCAAACTATACACAGGTTCAAAGAACCTGTAGTGTGAAGTTGTTTCTATTTTTAGAGTGTGGGAAAACTGCAACAACTTTAGAAAAACAAAACAAATAAAAACAACATTTTTAACTTTACAGGTTTATAGCACATTTGCACATATATTTCATCTGCTCTCACACCATTTTCCTGAGCCTAGTATCATTATTACCCTCATTTTATGAATGAGAAAATAAGGCCATTGAAGTTTATATGTCTTGCCCAATCACACACCCTCAGTAAGTGACTGAACCGTTAACTCCCAATTCCAAGCTTTGTCCAACAGATTATCATGCTGCCTCGCCAAAGCAAATTAAGGCAGAGGAACTTAAAATTAAGTAGGGGTTGGAAGTGTTAAAAAGTCTTCTCTAGATTGAAAAATAAATGATCTACATGGATTATGGAGTAGGCAGGGCAAAGAGACTGTATTTTGGATTGTAGACATTTTTCTTGGGAAAGAATATTTTAAAATACTAAGATCATGACCAAAGAGGGGAGAATTTTCTTTCTCTCTGGCCAGCAGAGAGCTAGACCAAGTAACAGCTGGTGGTGCCTTAGGCTGCATATGCATGGTGTCACGTACGTGTCAAATGTGTCACAAGTGTGGGACCCCAGATGTGTTAGGAGGAAGTCCGGATGCAAGGCCTTCAGATGCTCCTCATGCTGTTTATTTGGGGAACCCGTTATTACTCCTTTTGTCTGCCCAGAGTTCAAGGTGTTCTTAAGACATGGCAGTAAAAGACTTAACAAGCAAGTATTCTAAAATTTACCCTTTCTAAGAGGGGTTAAAAAGAAACTAAGGGAAACAGACAAGATAGTAAATAAAGGGCAGACTGTGACATTTACGTTTCTTTAAAAAGACAGTGTCAGTTCATGAATGAACAGCAAATAAATAATGTAAACCTTAAGCAAAGCAATGACAATGAACTGCTAAAAGACAGAGGGGAAAAAAAGAAACATGTTAACGATGTCTAATGGAGAACACTGACATGACTCCCTATATGGTGTTAACACTTTCTGGTTTGTTGTTCAATCAACCATTTGAAAGAATGGTTAAACTATTCCTATTATCATCTCAGCTTCACAAATTATACAAATCTTTTTGTTTGTACAGACGGTGTGAAAAGTTCAATACATTTGGGCTGAAGCTAACTTTAAATCCAAAAGTTTTGATTTAAAGAGGAAAACATGATTGCAATAGAGATCATCTAAACAATACAATAGCTAAGCAGATGTACATTTTATGACTGAATATAAAAAACCTTGCTCTTTTATGTATGCTTTAAATGTGGTTTTAAACACTTATGCAGCTAATAAGGCATTATAACCTGAACACACCCCAACTTCCCCTATCTTTGTTCCCAAGAATCTTGTGGCACAGATTCTATGTGATTGACCAAAGTTAAAACAGTTAATTCATGGCAGAACCAGACTGAACTCAAGCCTCCTGGTAATTAACATACGCTCTTCCTATTGGACTACCCTCCCTCTACTCCACCACAGAGCAACATGTGGTGTGAATTATCCTTTGGAAATTACAATAAAGGATGTGTGCTTGATGCCTGCAATTTTATTACACAATGTTGATATACACACAGACAATTAAAGAAAGGAGATTTTGTTGTTGTGCATCCTAGTAGACAAAATTAGAATGGTCAAATTTAAAAAGTAAAATTTTAAATTAAAACTTAAAAAATATTAAGAATCACATTCAGATGAAGAAATCTGCCTATTTGCAAATGGATATATAGATGGATCTTTGAATAAACAGATGAGCTCTGTAACAATTCAGATAATACTTTCCCCCTCACAGGTCTGCGGCTGGCTCGGTTTCTTCCTAAGATCAGCTAGCCCTGCCTTCCAGAGCAGTCACAGGAGAGATTCCAGAAAAATCACAGTAGAGATTTCAGACTACATATCAGACTATACAAATTTTTTTGCTTTTTGGCAAACTGGGTTAGTTCTTGTTAGTGACAATTTTGATATCTGCATTACTTGTTTTATTTCAAAATGTATTGTCTTTTAAGGTCCAAAGGTGTTCTTTAAACATGGGAAGGGTTTCATTTAGTTATCTGGGCTGAACATGCATGTATGGTCTACAATAAAATAACTGGTATATCTATGGTAAAAATTCTTTTATAAAAAAAATCATATATTAAACCACACACTCCAATAGATCATAGAAGACTATGTAAAATAAAAATTACTTCTTAAAAGTAATTTTCAAAATTCTGTTCAGGGTATCATCTACTTTTCCATTACTGGAAGTACTTGTGTGGACCCCCAATCTCTATCAGGACACTTAGGAATGGCCAATGAGCAAAGGTACTGCAACTCTTTGTTAGGCAAGTGCTGTTAACCAAACAGGTTTAAAAAGGTGGACATGATTTACTTTAGAAATCTGAATTCTTCATTACTATTCAGCTGCTCTTATATCCTAACTCACCTCACATGATAATCGGTTGCTGGTCTAAGATCTTTCAGGTTACATTCTAATTCTTCTCCACTGTAAAGAAAAATCATTTATTAGTTAATGATATCAGTTTCAAAAACACAACAGGTTTTGGATTTGAGTCTCATAGTCATGTACCAACAATGATTCAAGAATTATTATGTCTGATTCCACCATAAGCCAGAAATAAACTTTCCCATTTGACAGCATTTTTCTGGACTAGAAAATTAGATTCCTTTAAATGATGTCATTCTAGATTTGAAAAATGGCAAGGTTAACTTACTAATAAAAGTGCAAAAGATCTTATCATTTCTTCATAGTAACATCACAAAAATAATTAAGTAAATAAGCAAGCAAATTGAATAGATATACAGATAAACATAAGTATAAATAATAGTACCAGCTCTCAACTGAAGGTGGCTCTCATGGCTTATCATGGCAGGAACCCCAAAAGCTTTAACTTCTCAACTCTTGAAGAAATTTCAGTCTGCTTCCCTAACATATCAATACTAATAAATAGCTCTCCTATACAAAATAAAACCATTTATCTGACCACAAGTTACAACAGAACCTCGACTTAATCATGAGAAAACAATCAACATAAAATAAGGAATGCTCCCATTAAAACTCTTTTAAGAGGTGAGGGGGATGTGTGTGGGCATAACTGCATTCTACTCAGACATAAAAAAGAATGAAATTCTGTCATTTGCAACAACATGGATGAACCTGGAGGTTATTATGCTTAGTGAAAAAAGTCAGAAAAAGACAAACACTGCATGTTATCACTTACATGCGGAATCTGAAAAATAAAACAAACAAACAGAACAGAACAGAAATAGGCTCACAGATACAGAGAACCAACTGATGGCTGAATGGGGTGAGTAGAGTGGGGAGGGGCAAGAGAGGGGTAAGGGATTAAGAAGTACAAACTACTACTATGTATAAAATGAATAAGCTACAAGGATATATTGTTCAGCACAATGAATATAGCAGACACTTTTCCAATAACTTTAAATGGAGGACAATCTATAAAAATTTTGAATCAGTTGTACACTTGAAACTAATACTGTAAATCAACTATCCCTCAGCTAAAAAATCACTATGAAACTAACAACACTGTATGTCAACTATATTTCAAATAAGTAAATTTTTTTTCAGTCAATTCAATGGATAATTCTTAAACATGATTTAATCAAGCGAGGCCACCAAACACTGTTGCTTCCCACTGTGTTGGAAGAGGAAGTGTACAGAACCACCTTGAAGCATTCCTTCCACAGGTGTTAAGTCCGAATCTGACTAAGCTCTAGAGCTAACTACCAATTTATAAGAAATATGGGGGAGGGAAGATCAAGTTAAAGGACACCATAAATTCAGAATGCAAGAAAGTGATCTATTTTTTTGCAAATGGTCAAGAATTTTTAAAAAGGTGGGAGATTCACTTGAAACTAATATTGCATGTCAATGATACTTCAACAAAAAAAACTTTAAATTAAATAAATAAAAAAATAATAAAGTGGCTATATCATTTCACACATACAAAAGAAAATGAGCAAGGGGACTATTCAAGATTAAAACAGATTTATGAGACATAACAAACCCATGCAATGAGTGGGCCTAGTTTGGATTCTAATGAGAACAAACCAATTTTAAAAACATATTTTTGAGACAACTGAGGAAATTTGAATACAGCGTAGATATTAAATGATGCCAGACATTATTGTTAAGCTTTTCTAGATATTAATGACATTATAGTTAAGTGAAAAAAAAAAAAAAACTATGTTGATCCATATTGAACTATGTAGGAGTATCCTGGTGTGTGATCTGTGAATTGCTACCAAATGCTTCAGTAATAACAATAATAATAATAATAATACAGGAGGGATATGGATTGTGACAAAATCTTGATAACTGTTAACTATGAGTGATGGCTGTATCTGGGGATTCATTGCACTGTTTTCTCTACTTTTCTGTATGCTTGAAATTTAGTCACAATTTTTAAAAAATTTAAACTTACTGCCCTGCTAGTAATATGTAAAGTAACATTTCTGTTTTGAAAAGTATCTATACATGTGAGTTTTCTTTATTAAAGAGGAAGATGGAAAAAAATAGTCAGCTCGTAAAAGACAATGAAATATCATGAAATGTTCCAAATTAAAGAAGGCTGCTGAGACATGACAACTAACTGAAGTATCTGGCCTTAGAACGGATTCTGTCCTAGAGGGGAAGAAGAATGCTCCAGCAGACATTACTTAATCAACTGACAAAACTGGAACACGGACGATGGGCTAGATGAAAGTATGGTACTGATGCAAAGTCTGCACTGCAGCTATTTAAGAAGATGTCTTAGGAAACATACTGAAGTATTTAGTAGTACAGGACCACGATATATAAAACTAATATGAAAAACCATAGATTAAGAGGGGAGCTAACGGGAGGGAAAGTCAAATAGTAAACTGAATAGGGTCAAAAGTTAGAAACAGGTAAACCTAGGTGAAGGATATTCACATATTCCTTGATCTCTATTTTTGCAACATAAGTTCAAAATTATTCAAATAAAAATACTTTTTTAAAGTTGCAACCTGGTGGCCAACGTCCACACCTTGCCTGCAGCTCTGCTGTTTGACCTGCACTTTAAAGTGTTTTGAATTTGCTGACTTAGTTTAACATTAGGCAAGTTTACTATCAATTTGGATTTTCAGCATTTCCTTTAAAACAATCCAGAGAATCAGCAAATCTAGGCCAACGTTCCCTATGCAACAACCGGTTTGAGGTGAGTGGTGGCTGCTGCCGCCAGATGAACACAGGAGTGCTCCTGTTCTCCTCATTCCCAACCTTCCTCCTGTCTCACTTCTGTCACCTGCCTGTTCCTCTGAGCGCTTGGGACTCTAGCTCCCGCTGCCACTGATCCTCGTGCACTGATAGAATGTAACTGGTTTGCAGGGGCTGGGGGAAATGGTGCTCTATATTTTGTTAAGGTCATGACCCATTCTGACCCCAGTGGTTGTGAGGCAGAATACGGGGTTAGGACTATATTATGAGTGCAGTGGAGAAGCACCTGGTGTTCTCACAGGGGAGTCACATGGTCCAACTTATGTTTTCTGTAGCGTGGAGGCTGGATGGTGGGAGAGCAAGAGTAGATGCTAGAGAAACCTGGGGAGCTTCCTGCAAGAGTCCAGTCCAACAGAAGCCCGATGGCAGCAACAGGAGGAGAGAGTGGCTAAAGGGCTTCCCTCCCTCCTTCTTTCTCCCTTTCCTGTGACCAGAAGAAAAGTCCCTGGAGCGAGTTGAGAATTAGGTACAGGGCTTGGGAGACGCAGGGTCTGCAGCACTGACGCAGCAGGGAACCAGGAGAGAAAACCAGCCTCTCTGGAGGAGGAAGGGGTGGGATCTGTGTGGCCATGTTACACTGTTCCTGGGGCCAGTCCCAGAGACGTCAAACAAGTAGTTAAAACAAGACCAGCCCTTCTGATTTCCTGCCCTGCAAACCTGAGCAGTGCCCAGCAATCACAAAAGAAAAGATTTGACCTTAAAAACTTTTATCACATTTAGGACAGGGCTATAAATCATTTGACTGGTTAATATCTGGGAGTCCACAAAGCAGAAGGGGTTAATCCCTTACTCTGTGTGCTAAACTTTTGACCATTTAAGAAAGTCTCAGAATGAAATGATTTAAAGTAATCTTTACTACAGACTGAGAAAACTAGTGTGTGGAGGATTAAGTCGGATGGTGAAATGGAAATCATCTGACAGAATTAAAAAAAAACAAATCTAGAGAAAGGTCTGGGCCTAAAAAAAGATAATCAAATGAGTGCATGATATGAGTAAAAACTATAAAAGTCACACTCACTTTTTGCCCTGACAATATTAATGGAAAACTTTCTCTGGTACCACATTGGCAAGCTAACATAAATCAAGTGGCATATTTGACCAACACCAAATAGCTCTATAAAAGTCATTTCTGATTAGCAATTACTCTGAACAAAATTAACCCTTGACATTATAATTACCACTAATTATTAAAAAGAACTACTTAAAGGACAATTTGCAAAGCCAGTAAATTTTTCCTTTGCTTTCATTCTCCTTAATAACACCAATTTCACTGTTTAGCAGCTGAGAAACACACATGGAAATATACTCTACCTGTAAATTATCTTGTATTTTCCATCTCGTCCTTTGTCTGATAAGGCAACCTCGTAACTGTAGGGGAAGGAAAGACCACTGTGGGATCCACATGAAAGTCCAACAGGGGGAGCCCAGGACAAAACAACTGTTCTTGCCTGAATATTAGAAACCTGAGAAGAAAAACAGGAGACAAAAGTATTCAAATCCATTTCACATGGATCAGACACTTCACTTCTCCCCCCAGAACATTTTGTCATTATTAGCAGTGGCATAAAAATAGGTCGGAGTTAACTCAAGATAAGCCATTTTATTTTAATTACAATGAAAACAACTGTCCTATATGGCGTTCTCCTGTCAAAGTCCTGGATGTCCAAACTAAAGCTCCTGCAACATCTGTCCTTGTTATGAAACCTACATCCAAATCCGGTGCATTTCACACTTGGAAAGTAAAATAATGTCATGCTTGGGATTGGTAAAAAATTAAACATGAAATTTCAATAATCTCCATGATGGCCATCACACTATGTGGAAGGAACTCACATGCACAGGTACTTTTTGGCAGCCTCCAAGCCTTGCTTGGTGTCCAGTCATCTTGCAAAGCCACCACCTTTCAAACCATGCCCCTCCAAGTCCTGCAGGTTCCCAGGAGAACCCATTTGGAGGGTGGAACCAAGGCCCAGGATGACAGGAGGAGGAAATGTGTGTGGCGATGTTTCACTTCTCCAAGCTCTGCTTTTATCTTTTTGGTTTAGCCTCCACTGAAGACTTCATTTGAACTAAAGAGTCTGGGACTCTAAACACCCAACTCTCCCCCCTTACTTAGGGCTTCTCTGAGGCTCGTCCTTACACTATCGCCCAGGCATCCTGAGCAGGACGGGGCCCCAGCTGCCCTCAGCTGTAACCTGCTCATTAACAGATCCTGTACTGGCTTCTCCTCTGCAATCGCACGTCTCCACTCTAATGGCTCTTGCTTCCCGGGGCACCTCCTCACATACACTATTTGCCTTCCAATCTTTGTTTTACAGTCTGTTTCTGGAGAAAACCAATCTAAAGCACAGTCTAATTCTTTAAAATCTCTCAATAGCACTTTAATGTTTGATGTTCTAATTTTCTAAAGGTTATTTTTTGCTCTCTGGATATTGGTCTAAATAACATATTAAAAACAAAACAAGAGTTAATACACACTAAAACTTAGTGTTCATACAAGACTTTATAGCTGTAGATTATTAGGCTGTGGATGGAGATGTCTAAACTATCAGGTCTCTATCCTTTTTTCTTCCATTTTCATCAGTATCTGATCTAAATAAAGAATATTAAAGTGTAATATAAAATAATTAAAAAGCACGAACAAAATATGGAAAATGAGCACTGAGTCTCCCTTTTCAGTCTGCCATTTATTCCATTTTGAGCAGAGATCCCCCTCCATATCACTGCTGTTCCATGTAGATACAGCACCACTATGTATTTAACCAATTACTCAAACTCCTACTCATCCTTCAAGACTCCAGCCAGTCTGCACTATCCCTAAGTAGCCTTCCCTGAAGTATCCCATCATCTCTCGGTTCCACAGCACCTTGTTGCTGTCTCTACCATTGCTAATTACAGTGCTGGCCTACCTTCCTCACTGGACTGTGGGACTCCCTAAGGAGAGGCCCCAACTCATGTCCAATTGTGAGCAGTGGTTGCTTAGTAAATGTTGAATGAAAAAAAATCAAAGGGAAACAGGCAGTCTGAGTTTCTGATACAGGTGACACAGTGGATGGTAGACTAGCAATACACACACACTCCTTTTAAACAAACCTAAGGAGACACTGTTACAGAATCGAACTCCACCCTTCTTGTCATGGTCCAGATGAGCAGCTGGTCCTCCGCCCACCCCTCCTGTGACACACAGCCCTAACCCCCTTGGGGTGCATCCCCCTCACACCCCTGAGACAGCTCTGGGCTTTCCGACTTCCTGCCTTTAACAGACTTCTCTCAAACCCGGTCCAAATGCTGCCTTTGCTTACTTAATCAATCATCATACCTCATCTTGGGAGAGGCTGTGCACACAAAGATGATTAAGATCCGATCTCTGCCTGGTGAAGACAGAGGTATACGTGAGGGGCCTCATGGCAGATACAATGAGCACAGAAGGACCCCAGCAGCTTCAGCTCAATCCAGGAAAGACTTCTGTACAGTCCTGCCTGACCCCGGATCAGAGCCAGCCACTGTTTCCTCGGCGCTCCAGCCACACTGTGCTGGCACCTCTGTTTGGCACTCATTTCATTATACTTTGCTTTACCTGGCTGTTTGGGTGTTGTTCCCCTGATAGACTTTAAGGCAGCATTTCTACCATGCACACCACTGTATCTGCTGAATTCACACACCATTAACGAGTAATCCTGAGATATTGGATATTACATTTGATTTGTGTCTTAATAAGAGATATTTTGCTATGGAAAGTTCAGTTTGTAATTTAAAAAATGCTGATTAGGTACTGAGAAACACTTAGCTGAGGTGATAAATGGTCCAATTCCAAGAGCACAGTATGTAGTAATACAGATTCTGTGAATGGTGGTGTGAAATAACATCACATCTCAAAACAGCTCAGTCAAGTGCTAGCACTTCAGACACTGAACAGGTATCCATAAATCCACATCCCTTTAAACTCTACTTTTTTTTTTTTAAATCAGCTATCAAGAATTTCATCCTAAGAGTTCTCATCACAGGGAGAAAATTTTCTCTTTTCTTTTCTTCTTTCTTTATAGTCTATGTGAAATGATGGATGATGGATGTTAGCTAACCGTATTGTGATAATTATTTCATAACAGATGTAAATCAAATCAAAAGCATTTTTTCTTTTCTTTTTTTTTCCCTCTAGGACTTGGTTCAGTTATTACTTAACTGAACAGGGATGTACAACACTTGAAGGATCAACTAAAATAAGGTTCACCTTTTCCCCGGGTTCCCTGAGCAAGCCTTAAGGTCAACTGCTATCTGAACACAGACATCTGTGCGAGGACATCCTTCCCATTGGCCAGCCTGTCAGACGTGCACTTTGAGAACTCAGCATCATTTTCAAAGGGTGGCAGCTTCTGGGAACTCTCTCCTGGAGCTGAGCAGCCTGCCACCTAGATGGCGACCAGGGTTGTGAGGCCAGTCCCCTCCTGTGCTCTCTGTTCCCTCCCCTGCACTGACTCCTGGGCCTCAGGTTTCCTTTCTTTAGGTGTTGGAATCCCAAGAGAAAGAGTGCTTTGTCTCTGTTAGAACTTGGAATTTACTTCCACTCCAAGGCTGATGCCAGGAAATTACACGGTGCCTTTCAATAGAGTGTCCTGGAAACGGGGATCCTCAGCAGTAGATGCCTTTACTCCAAGCACCCAGGGAAGTGATAACCTCAGTGAGAGTCAGAACTCCAGGAACTAGGCTGGGTTCAAGCCTACATCAGAGCCACAGCACTCCCACACGAGCTTTACCTTGTGAGTCAGTCATCCTCTCTCTCTCTCCTCTCCTTTCCTACCTCCCCCCGCTTTCTCTGGTGAAACTTTCTCACCAGTAGTGACCACTGAACTGAACTGGGGCACGGCTAATCTGATCATCACAATGATTGTCATGGCTGTGATCCAAAAAAAGGAGTTTAAAAGCCATAAAACTAAGTGACTTTCTGATGTTTAATTATTCTACCATAAATAGAAGTCAATCTCCTTTGTAATGGTGATAAGAGTGATGATTTCTAGCTACACAATTATTGGACAAGACCCAATGTGACCTTTGTTTCAGCACTGGTGATATAAGAGTCTGTTGTGAAGGTTATTAGTGTAAGTCTGCAACGAAATGACTCAAACTGCTTTGAAGTATCTTGAAGGACTCATAAAACCATCGTCTACTTCTAAATGATTACTGATTAGAAATCATTCTTGTCTATGTATTTATTAAATATAGATTTGAACTTGAGAACAGTGGCCAGTTTAAAGCATATCTATGTGTATATATGTATTTGGAAATGATAAAACCACATTATCTTGTAGCTATTTGATATGTAATCCTTATTCTCTGTCACCTTATCCCTTTCTCTCCTGTTCATCCCAGCATTTTAATCCTATTCCATGCAATTTTACTGTCTTAATTTTCAGACTATCTTAAATGCAAATGATATTCATTATTTGGGTCAAAAATACCATTTACTCTCATAAAGTTACTAAACTGTTACTCCTGTGTTCAAAAATATTTCTATGTAAGTTCGCAGCTTCTAAATTTGGTCTGGTCTCTGGATTTAACTATGTGGGAGGCCTGCTGATCCAATTTAGGGAGTTATGTCAAGGAAATATTACCATAGCAATATTGGCTTCACTTCTAAAGTACCATTGTGACAAATAATAACACAAAGGAAAATTTAAAAGGGAAAGGTCAGAGAGATCATTATTCAAAGAAAAAGGATACTCAAATCTAGGAATTTCAGAGCCATTTGTTTCTATAATTCCTTAAGTGCGCAGAACCTCCAGTGTGTTTCCAGATATACTGCTGTTTATCTTTCAGGAATTGCTTCTTGTAGGAACAGTTGTTTTCTTAGGTCAGTTTACTCACTTCTGGAACTGACAAATCAATTGTTCCTACAAGCTAAACATTAGCGGATGGAAACAATGCAGAACCGCAATTCCAGGTTACATTTATTTACATCCTGAAAATAAACAGCCCAACAGCATCACCGTCAGAGCAGATTAAAACCAGGTTAGGTTGGAGCTGGTTGGTCCCAGTAGAGACTGAATTCTAAACTGCTCAGAATACTATCAAGCCTGCTTTTCTAGTACAGTGGTGGCTATGAGTACAGTCCCCAAGGCATCTGACTGTTACAGTCTTGGGACAAATACCTAGTATATCTGTGCCCTGTTTCATCTAACGACTAAGTATCTGGATCTTTAAAGTACCTGGGTTTCTAAAGGGTAAGACTTACTTAATTCAGGGTGCCCAAAATTCTAGAAAGATGATTGGAATCCACAAGCCCTCAATACTATTTCTATACCTAAAACAAATCACCTGCAAAGCCTCGAAGAAGAATACTTGCATTTTATTTGGAGGTGTTACCAGATACAGCTGAAAGAAAAAAAACAAAACAAAAAAACAACACCAATCCTTTATACAATTGTACACCAAACTTTCTACAGCTCCGCTGTTTTTCCTGGAAGGAGGCTGGGCAGAGTGTAGCAGGGGGGTCTCACTTTTGCCTGACGATACGCTATAAGCTGCAGAGGACCAGTCCATTCCAAGGACTCTATAAACAGTACATCATTTACTTCCCAGACAGTCCCATGTGGTATTTATTATCCGACCTTCCGAAGGTAAGGAAGCCGAGGCTCTGGGTCACAGAGACAGTTGATGGCCACACTGGGCCCCAGCCCCCAGGGCCCTCCCCTCCACGCAGCTGCCTGCGCCCTGGCTCCAGCCGCCCACATTCCACCCCGCGGGCTGAGCCGCGTCTGATGCTGGCCGGCCTTCAGGCATCTGGCCCACCTGGCAGAACCCGGCTGCAGCCGCTAGTCTGCCACACGTTTGTGCAGCAAATATTTGTGAAGGGTTCACAACGTGCCAAGGACAGTGCTAGATATTAGGAGCACACAGATCAATACGACACAATCATGATTAAGAACTTCAGACAGAGAGGGGAGCAGAGGAAGGGAGGAGAAGGAAGGGAGAACAATGGTGTCAACAAACAACTGGGCTGGGAAGGAAGAGTGGACTGTCACCCAGCGGAGAAGGTCTATGTGGGGACCAGGGGTGGGTGCGGTGGGCAGACTAACCCCCCTCGCCAAGATGTCCACATCCTAACCCCCAGATATACTTCCCTACAAGTAAAAGAGACTCTGCGGATGTGATTAAGTTAAGGATCTTGTGAGGCAGAGCCCATCCTGGGTTATCTGGACGTAAATAACACGCGTCTCTGTGAGTGCGAGAGGGAGACAGGGGTGAGAGTCGGAGGAGACAGGAGGGTGTAAGGGGTCTCGGGCCCAGCAATGCAGGGCAGCTTCTAGAAGCGGGAAAAGTGGGTAAACACAATCGTCCACAGAGCCCCCAGGAAGGAACATGGCCCGGCCAACACCTTGATGTCAGCCCCACGAGGCCTGCTGTGGACTTTCTGACCACCTGGCTGACAATCTTACAACATTACACCTAACATCACTACTATTTACACGACAGCCTGTCTACTCTGAAACCTATACAGAGTTAAGGGCTTAGTAAAGGAATCAAGGAAATGGCCACTGAGTGTCAATGTTGCTTTTATCTTGCTGGAGCTACATGACCCTCAGGAACAGACGCCGTCACTTCTGCAGTGAAGACATGACCAGGAAAAACTCAAGCAGAACACTGTGTGTGTGCATGGCGGACAAGACTCTGAAGCTGGGAGACTACACCTGGGACAGTCAGCTAGCCTGTCGCCCCGCCTTCTCACCCTGATTATGACTTCTCTGTGTTCCTCACGGATTTTCCTTCTTTCTACTGCACTCTAAATGTAAGCCTGTTCCAGAATGGCATTGAAGATATAAGAAGGACACAGACGTGAACCTATTCTGGAGGAACTCACAGATTACCGGGGAAGACACAGAAACAAGTGAACAGAGTACGATGTATGACATACACGGAGAGAACACTGATGCTGGGGTAGTCCTATGGTACCAGGTACCATGTGGAGTATCCCACTTGATGGGCGGGAACAGCAATCAGGGAAGCCAGCTCGGAGGAAGCATCTCCTGAAAGGAGGTATCCACACCTGGAAGCCCAGCTGTTCATGACACCTGATATCTAACAGATTGTAATGCCTTATTGATCTCTCTCTAGAATGGCTCTAGAATCCATCCTCTCCTTGCCACACCTGATGCCACATGCTCAGTATGACTCCCACAGCCTCCCACCGGCACAAGAGATTTCTAACATGTGCCTTCCTGGGCCCATCCTCTTCTCTCACTTCAATGCACCTGCCAGCTCACTGATCATCGTGAAAGGGCAGCCCTGATTATATAACTTCTCTGCTCGTAAACTCTCAATGGCAACTTGCTCGTAACTGGCTTAAGTGCAGACTCCCCCACCCAGCATCAACACCCCACAGCCCTACAAGAGCCCTGTTGTGCCCACAGTCCAGCACACCTCATGCTTCTAGGTTTAGTCAAACTCAGCTATGTACCCTGAGGCATGCTTGGACCCTCCGGTTAAAAAGCCTCAGTATTTGAAACACATGAAGAATCAAGGTTTTCCAATTCAGCTAGAAAACACTCCAAGGAACTTTGGCTCTCTAAACTCAGATGAAAGGCTGAATCAACATTTTCAATTTTTCACTTGAATTTCAAAGCACCTGGCAAAATCAAACTTAAAACCTCACAATATCACTACTCCCACCAAATTTTTTCCTGGCCATTATACCCCTTGCCATTATGCTTCGGATTTATTTTTCTCGGCTAATATTTGAATCTCTTTTTGAAATTTACCTGGAAAAATACTTTGAATGACTGAGATTTCAAAAATTATAATTACTACATTCACACAGGTAAAGGGAAACTGCCAAAAGAAAACTGTTCTGTAGACCTGGGGGTGGTGGGTAGAGGTGTATCTTTGGAAGTTGGGAAGAATACCTAATTGCATTCAGAATATCCAAATAAAGACGACATTTTGGTGGATGATGACTGAACAGAAGACTACTGTTTTATATTTTCATGTGCCATTAATAACAACACTACTTCATAGTTTATGAATAATCTGCAATGGGAAGGGGCCTCTTTCTTACCTACTATGTGGTGAAAGAAAAACATGTTTGAAATACTTAAAAAAGCGCCATTTATGCTGAGAAATCCAGAAGACATACCTGTGGTTTCTCTATTCCCGAAAGAATGTCTTGCACCCTCTTTACTTCCAACTCATACTCTGCATGGCAAAAAGAGGGGAAAAAAGAAAAAAAGTTAATACCATTAGAAGACAGTAAGGCTGTCAAGTTCCTTTCCCAAGGCCTTTAACTAGGGCTATCATTAAGTCAATTGCCTGTTACCATGGGCTTTTGATGCCATAAACATGATAATGAAAATCAGGAACGGGGATGTCTTTGGGGTAGGGATTTCACTGTGGTTTTTTGCTAAGTTGCCGCTATTACTGGTTTACATCTTTACACTGTTGGCTAGATTAACACTGAATTCACCTAATAATTCAACAGGCAGCAGGGAACAGAAGGCCCTAAGGAGGGGAAGGGGGAGACAGTGCAGTGAGAAGCTGAGGGCAATGAAGAGATGAGGTTGAGACAGGGGCCAGTTCATGCAGGGCTGTGAGTTCAGATTTTTTTAATTCAATTTTATTTATTTATTGTAAGTTCGATGGCCAGCTACCGGAGTATTTAAGCAGAGGAACTGACGTTATCTTGAGTTTGAAAAGATCTGTTTGGCATCTGCGTGAGTAATGGACATGCAGAAGCTAAGAGGGGCGGCAGAAAGATGAGTCAGTACGTTGCTGCACTGGTCCACATGAAGGATGGAGCTGGTCAGGGCTGGGGGTGGTAGTAAAGATGCTTAGAGCAGGGCTGGTTTTGGAGGTATGGGTGCTGAAGGATTCGATATGATAGGTAAGGGTGAGGGAATGAGAAGAATCAAGGCTAATTTCTACTTTCTGAATAGATCAACAAAAGGATGATGGTGTCTTTTAGTAAGATAGGGAAATGGGTAACTTTTAGGGTGGGGCAAGAACTGTTTCCAAAGTGAAAGGGGAGAAGTGCTTGGAGTAGGGAGGAAGGATGTGCACAAAAAGGACAAATGACAGAATTTAAACTTAAGAATCTATTTCTTTTGCTAAAAGAACCTTTTGAGTTTCACAACCTGCTTGATAGAACCTAATTTTGACTTTGCAGATTTATTTAACTGTTCAACCTAGATTATGAGCTGTACGTAGAGATATATGACTATCAAGGCACGTCCTTGCCCTCAAAATATTTCAAGGTTGGGGGGGATGAAAGCAAACAGGCAATTACAAAGTGACAGGTGCTATGGTAAAGGCAATCTAAGAGAAACCATTTCTAGAAGCTTCCTAGGAACCAACATCCAGCTGAGCGCTGTGGGCCAACAGGCATTTGGAGGCAATGGGTGAGTGGAACCACAGGTGAGAGCAGGCGAGTAAGCCCAGCCCCTCCTTCACTGGTTTTTCAGGTCTAATCTCAAAGTCACCCTTTCAAGGAACCCCACCTCAACCCCACCCCTCTTACCCCAGTCTCCCTCCAATCATTCTCGTACCCTACATACCTCCTTCAGACCAGTTATCAAAATCTGCAAATTATTCTGTCTGTTCCCTTGTTTATTACTTGTCTTTCTTACTCAAGTATAAGCTTCAAGAAGGTAGAGACACTATAGGTCTGGAGCAAATTTGTTCTGTCAATAACCAGATGGTAAACGTTTTTAACTCTGTGGGCCAGAGGCCTGTGTCACACATTCTTCCTTGTGTTTATAGCCACTTAAAAATGTAGCCTCCCGCTTAGCGTGAGGCAGACACAAGACCAGGCCACGGGGCAGGCGGGCCCTGTGTAGGACGTGCTCCCACTCAGCCCGGGGCACCTCGCGCGGTTCCTGCAGGCTCAGAGCTCCACGGACACTTGCTGACTCAGTAAATAAACCAACTCTATATAAAAAATAACAAGCACTTCTAGTTGACACCACCCTAAATTTTAAAAGGACCAGTTCTTCATTTTTCCCCATTGCATCCTGCTTAGGAGAACACGTTTACCTTTATTTTGGCAAGAAAAAGAAATGAGCTGGTGGCAATATACTTTTAAAAATTACAACCAAAAGAAAATCCCCATTCAAAAGACTAAATGTCACAGATTCATTTAGAACCATGTATTCATGTTAATTTGAAGATACAGATAATAGATTAAACCATTAGTTTAGAGTCAAAACATACCCTCACAGTTTTTGGAAGCACCCACTACGTCAACTGTAAGTACTGTGAACTTCAGAAGTTAATTGTCAGT